AAAAAGTCAGAAATATTTATTGAAGACATGAATTTAATATATTATGTAACAATATCTCTGTTTTCGTTTAATTCCATAATTTTAAATTACCTTAACATTCTCTATTTGATTCTTTGTCTCCTCGATCTCTTTCTTCGTATTTTCTATAACATCTCTCATCGCAACTTCGATTTCTGCTGTATCGAACTGCCTGGCGATCTTCAAATTTCTAATTTCTCGCAGCTGCACTTCTCGCCCAAGTAAATCGAAAAGACTTGCGCCATTGACGGTTAATTGGCTCGCTAATTGCCTTGTAGTTTTCAACTCGTTCAATCGATCACTGATATCGATTCTCGCCTGATGCTTATTATCAGACGACAGAATTTCTTCCTCAGCACTTTTACTCTGGGCTTCGTACAATAATGTTGCGATTTTCAAAAGCTCGTGGACAGCATAACCATCAGCTTGATACAGCTTTTTTGTGTTGAGTTTGATATTTGTTTTTATTGCCTAAAAAATTTATTTTCCAATGTCAAGTGGAACTATTCCGTACGTGCATTAATAATATAGAGAAAAATATATTTATCCAGACTAATTTTCTTTGGAATAAATAAATTTCTATCTGTACAGGAAAATTGTGAGACAAGATTTATTAGGGGGTAATGAGACTCAAAGAGTTCGAGAGAATTAGACCTAGTATCCGATTTATAATTTTACCATAAATTCTGCAGCCCGACGAATAATCGCCACTCTATCCTCTTCAGTTTGATAATCACAAGAAATGTCGGTATCGCCATCAAATCTTCGGACAAGCCACACCAATACCTCCGCAACTAGTGGAAAATTAGGCACTCGGAAATTCGACAGAGAAATTAATCTGGGATACCCAAGGAATCTCATCATTTCTGTAAAATCTAAAAACCACTCGCAATGCCATTAATATTCACATAATTTTTTTTTAATTAAGGGGAAGACATACATCGACAAAAAAATTACGTTTGCCAAACAAATTCACTAAACACAAAAACATGTATGTATTGTAATTAATTTAATTTATTAATTAAATTATGTATTTTAATTGATTTAATTTTTACCAAATGAATTTACTTGGCCGGGGTAGATTAATTAAACAGATGTAATGTTTTTCTCAAGAGTATATTCATTGTTTATATTCTCTCGACAACAAAATTAATCAACAATGAGTGAATTCAAGATGAATAATGTATA